GAGCCCCTAGTAGCTTCTTGTTCCTAGTAGCGATGCCAGGAGCCCCTAGTAGCTTCTTGCTCCTAGTAGTAATGCCAGGAGTCCCTAGTAGCGACATAATGTCAGAAGTGGATGGGACTGAGAAACGTTATTACCCTTGGCAATGTTCCACCATCAGATTGGCCCAGCCTATGCTGGGGCAAAGCAGTTGAGCACATATCAAACAGCGCAATCTCTATGAAGTGTTTGTTGCCCCAGAACAAAAAAAGCGAGAAAGTATGTCGATCAGTTGAGTGGTCGGCAGATCAGCTGAAAGGAGCAGCCGCCATGGTTAGACCACGACGTTGAGATCTGGGAGCGGTTTCGGATGTACGAAGAAGAGAACATGTGTCGAAGCTACGCGCTGCGTGGATGGAATCATTTCGTGCAGCTCGTAACCAGGGACGGGGAGACGCTCGGTTCTGCAGACGTTGGAGACGGCTGGATATGCCTGTTTGATCCTTTTTGTCGTTTTCCCGCTTCGGACCAAGCTCAAATGATGAACTCACTGAGATATGGCCACAAGAAGGGCCTCACAGATTGGTAAGCGATAAGCCATCGCACAAACTGATCAGAGGGCCAATCTGAAAGTCTTTTTGCACATTTTGCAGACCTTGTGTCTCCAGAAGCTCCTTTGCTTCCCTTTTCTGGTTTCCTTTTTGGGAACACAACCCCACCGTCACATAGGCAAGGTATTTCCCTCACATCCTTTTCCTCGCCTACCTTTCAACCGAGGATTCGGGGGATCGTCCGAGCTGCCCCGAACCAAGAGATCGAGCTGGAAGCGAGAGGTTGGATCCAGAACTGCACAGGCCAGAGCTTGGCGTCCAGATGTTCTGTTGCCCCCTGCTGTCGCGGAGATTTAAACCCGCGCGCAAGTAGAGGCGGGTTAAGAAAGCGAAACGGATGGTTGATTGAAGACTATGACATGAACTACTTTGTTTAAGTTACAAAAGAAAGATGTATTTTAACCGTGATAAACAGACCACAGAAGGTCTCTCAAGCAGGGCTGGGATCAGCCGGCTTCTCCACCTTCCACCAATTGGCAGGGGGGCTGTGAAAGCAACACCTGGAGGGCATTGATATGCCCTAGATCACTCCACGACTCCACGAAGCTAAATGAGGACCGATTCAATGTCATGAGCAGATCAACGAGCTTGTTTAGATCACTCCATCTGACATCTGACACAGCGCGATTCAGAAGCCAACCCAAAAGTTGTTTTTCTATTGGAGTCCTCCTGGAGCTATCACGTGTTTCACGTTTCTGTTTGGTGTGATACACATCTTGAGAACCTGTTCTCCATTTTATGTCCTGTTCTCCATCGATCCCCTCACCACCACTGTGGGTTCTGCATCTTCTCCCTCCTTCCGACCGCCACGGTCTCACGGCCACGATCACCTGTCCGAATCCTCCAGTCAAGCTCCGTCTCGATCCAGGTGACAACACGGCCACGCATCAGTTGCTATTGGCAGTGGACACCTGGGTGGTGGGGGAACTTTACAGCGGAGTGCCCAGCTTCAAGGATCCTTTCGCCACACCCATTCGCTTCACAGCGCCCAAGGCGGGAGCAGTCCAAGTGTTCGGAGTCCAGCGGTGAGGAGTTGTTGGAGTTCAGCAGCACGAAGCAGTTTAGACAGAGCAAACCATTCGGCAGTTGAGACAGATGTGTGCTGTAGACTCCTTCCCGCGATTCGTTGAACCTGAGCCTTTTTTTTGCGGACGGACCCCCCTGGGTGTTGTTGCCTTTGCGGCCTTTATGTGGATGGATCGCGATGGCCTAAAACCTCGTCGCGATGGCCTCCAACCTACTAGCGATGGCCTCCAACTGACTAGCAAAGGCCTCCAACCTACTAGCAAAGGCCTCCAACCTAGTAGCAATGGCCT